AAACATCAGCCTCAGCTTTCAAAAGCCATCAGCCTGCCTCAGCATTCAGCCTCCAGCCTGCTTCAGCTTAGCCTCAGCATAGCAGCCTGACTCGGCCCTCAGCCGGCTTCAGCCTCAGCCTCAATCTGCCTTCAGCCTCGCCTCAGCCTCAGCCTGCCTCAGCTTCACCCTGCATCAGCCTCAGCCTCAGCCTCAGCCTGCCTCAGCCTCAGCCTGCCTCAGCCTCAGCCTCAGCCTGCTTCAGCCTCAGCCTCAGTCTGCCTTCAGCCTCGGCCTCAGCCTCAGCCTGCCTCAGCATCAGCCTGCCTCAGCCGCAGCCTCAGCCTGCCTCTGCCTCAGCCTCAGCCTCAATCTGCCTTCAGCCTCGGCTTCAGTCTCAGCCTGCCTCTGCCTCAGCCTGCCTCAGCCTCAGCCTCAGCCTGCCTCAGCCTCAGCCTGCCTCAGCCTCAGCCTCAGCCTGCCTCTGCCTCAGCCTCAGCCTGCTTCAGCCTCAGCCTCAGTCTGCCTTCAGCCTCGGCCTCAGCCTCAGCATGCCTCAGCCTCAGCCTGCATCAGCCTCAGCCTCAGCCTCAGCCTGCCTCAGCATCAGCCTGCCTCAGCCTCAGCCTCAGCCTGCCTCAGCCTCAGCCTAAGCCTGCTTCAGCCTCAGCATCAGTCTGCCTTCAGCCTCGGCCTCAGCCTCAGCCTGCCTCAGCCTCAGCCTGCATCAGCCTCAGCCTGAGCCTCAGCCTGCCTCAGCATCAGCCTGCTTCAGCCTCAGCCTCAGCCTGCCTCAGCCTCAGCCTGCCTCAGCCTCAGCCTCAGACTGCTTCAGCCTCAGCCTCAGTCTGCCTTCAGCCTCGGCCTCAGCCTCAGCCTGCCTCAGCCTCAGCCTGCATCAGCCTCAGCCTCAGCCTCAGCCTGCCTCAGCATCAGACTGCTTCAGCCTCAGCCTCAGCCTGCCTCAGCCTCCTCAGCCTCAGCCTCAGCCTGCCTCAGCCTCAGCCTCAGCCTGCTTCAGCCTCACCTCAGCCTGCCTCAGCCTCGGCCTCAGCCTCAGCCTGCCTCAGCCTCAGCCTGCATCAGCCTCAGCCTCAGCCTCAGCCTGCCTCAGCATCAGCCTGCCTCAGCCTCAGCCTCAGCCTGCCTCAGCCTCAGCCTCAGCCTGCTTCAGCCTCAGCCTCAGTCTGCCTGCAGCCTCGGCCTCAGCCTCAGGCTGCGTCAGCCTGCCTGCCGCAGCCTCAGCATCTCAGCCTCAGCCTGCTTCAGCCTCAGCCTCAGTCTGCCTTCAGCCTTGGCCTCAGCCTCAGCCTGCCTCAGCCTCAGCCTGCATCAGCCTCAGCCTCAGCCTGAGCCTGCCTCAGCATCAGCCTGCTTCAGCCTCAGCCTGCCTCACCTCAGCCTCAGCCTCAGCCTCAGCCTCAGCCTCAGCCTGCCTCAGCCCTCAGCCTGCCTGCCTCAGCATCAGCCTCAGCCTCATCCGCTTCTCAGCCTCAGTGTGCCTTCAGCCTCGGCCTCAGCCTGCCTCAGCCTCAGCCTGCCTCAGCCTCAGCATCAGCCTGCCTCAGCATTCAAAATGTGGCCCGGGAATGGAGTTCTGGGAACTCGAAGACACGAAGTGGCCTACAGTTGGCTCCGGGCATTCAAAATGTGGCCCGGGAATGGAGTTCTGGGAACTCGAAGAGCACGAAGTGGCCTACAGTTGGCTCCGGGCATTCAAAATGTGGCCCGGGAATCGAGTTCTGGGTACTCGAAGAGCACGAAGTGGCCTACAGTTGGCTCCGGGCATTCAAAATGTGGCCCGGGAATGCAGTTTTGGGTACTCGAAGACCACGAAGTGGCCTACACCATAAGGATCAGGGCCCCTTAGATTTCCGGAACAGACTTTAACTTAGATTTTCTGACCCTTATCTTTCTTACACTTAACTTTAATCTTAAACTTTACCTTAGACTCGCCCCTTAGACTCCTTTACCTTTACCTTAGATTCGCCCCTTAGATTCGCCCCTTGGTCTCCTTACCCCTTACCTTACTTGAAATCCGACCTTAAATCCGACCCTTACCTGAAATCCATCAGTATGTCCGTGCTTTGTGTTTTCTTTGGGTGCGCACGCGATGCGTCGGTCGGGTTCGTTGCGTGTTGTTCTGGCTGGTTGGTTGGGCTGGTTGGCTGGGTATAGGTTCTGATGGTATCATGCACCTGGTGGCCTCCTTGAGGGTCAGCGGATTCTGCCGACACGTTTGGGGTTCACGCTGGGCAACACGTTTGGGGTTCACGCTGAACGCTGTTTGGGGTCAACGCTGAACGCTGTTTGGGGTTCACGCTGAACGCTGTTTGGGGTTCACGCTGAAAACTGTTGGTGGTTCACGCTGTTTGGGGTTAAACGCGTCCACGCTGTTTGGGGTTCACACTGTTTGGGGTTCACGCTGACAACTGTTTGGGGTTCACGCTGTTTGGGGTTCACGCTGTTTGGGGTTCACGCTGTTTGGGGTTCACGCTGAAAACTGTTTGGGGTTCACGCTGTTTGGGGTTCACGCTGAAAACTGTTTGGGGTTCGCGCTGTTTGGGGTTCACGCTGTTTGGGGTTCACGCTGTTTGGGGTTCACGCTGTTTGGGGTTCACGCTGAAAACTGTTTGGGGTTCGCGCTGTTTGGGGTTCTCGCTGTTTGGGGTTCACGCTGAAAACTGTTTGGGGGTCACGAAAACTGTTTGGGGTTCGCGCTGTTTGGGCTTCACGCTGAACGCTGTTTGGGGTTCACGCAGCACGAGAGATTTCATTACAACATTGCCATCATATCGTAGCCGTTTTTGGTCGAGCACACTTTTCAGCAATATTTCTTCTGGCCTCATGGCCGCCCAGAACAGGAAGCCTCGTGAGATCGCCAACCCATCCGTTCAGCAGGATGTTATTTCAGCAGAAGTTGCGAAGTTCAAGGGTAACAAGAGTTGGACAGATCTCGTGTTTTGCCACCTAGTGAAAGAGCAGCACAAGGTTACACCTAGTATGTTGGCGACTTTGGCACCCTTGCTCCAAGGCTTTATCAAGATCGGGTTCGACAATTGCGTACTGCCCATGCCGAAGGTCGAGACAGCGATCTTGAGGTCCATCCCCAGCGGCGAGAAACCCCCGACTGACTATTGCCAGACGCGCTGGATCACCGAGATAGCAGACCACGTGAGGCTCGTATTCAATGCGCTTCGCCTGTACAAGTTGGAGGGCGATAGCGCGCAGATGACGCCTTCTGGCAGGAGGCGCTACCCGAAAACTGGTGGATTTCGCAAGAGCATGAGCGCCACTGACAACATCTTGGTGCACGGCCTGATCAAGAACGTGAAGCTGAACTGCGTGGAGAAGGAGTGCCTATCAGATGACGGTCGGTCCGTTGCGTCTCGGGTTTCGGCCACATCTACCGCGCCAGTGCCAATGCGCGACCAGCCTCCCGACACGCGACATGCATTGCTCATCCGCTACAAGGCCATGTTCAATCAGAAGTCGCCGCTCAAGCCTGTCAAGGAAGACGCGGTGGACGATGACGGTGAAATCGAGCCGACCATCGAGTATCCCGAGGAGACCAGTGCGCCCGCAGCCGTCGCCCAAGAGCACGCCGCCGTCGCCCCCGAGCCCGCCGCCAAGGAGGTCCACCCAGCGGCGCTCTACGACGAGGACGGCGTGTTCCAGGGCATCATCGGCGGCTCCAGCTTCCTCGGGCAGCGGGCGCAGGAGCGCAAGGCGATGGCGCAGGCATCGATTTAGATTCAAGTTGGGTTCAAAATGAGATGAGGAGGGGGACGAGGGAGGAAGACGGAGACGACGACGACGACGACGACGACGACGACGACGACGACGAGGAGGAGGAGGAGGAGGAGGAGGAGGAGGATGAGGAGGAGGATAGCCACGACAACGAGAACTGTTTCGTTATAACACACCTGGTCTAAATGCCCCCCTCTAGAAAAGGACACTTTGGATCCCTGGGAAATCGAAACATCTTCGGTATAATAGTCGAGGTCTGATTGGGGATTCAGTGCATGTAAACGTAAGTTTTACTTCGGAGCAATCGCACTAGGCAACTCGCAAGCGCGTGATGGGCAAGCAGCAGCCTGGAGCGCAGCAGAACAAGCGCGGGAAGCCAGCCGCGTCTCCGAGTTCGTCTTTGATGGCCCCGTCAGCAGCGCCTCCCGTCGAGCTCCCCGAGCCAGTGACGCCCCGTCCTGCGTCCAAGGACCGCGCGGCGCAGAGCGCCGCGAAGACCGAGGCCCTCGTCTTCAGTCGGCCGAAGAAGTCGGGGCCAACTAAGGAGGATCGCCCCCGTGTCGAGCTCACTGCCTTTACCGATTCTAACAAGAGGGCCCACATCTGGACGACAGCAAAACCAGATGAGTTTGCCGCAATGGAGCGCCTTTACGTAGCCATGCAGAAGAAGCCGATGACGAAGGCACAGGCGCTCCAGCTTCGCGATTCTTTTCTTGGGAAGGTCGATCGTCCCACATAGGTATTCTTCAGGTGCGAGATTTCGGCTTGGCGAACATTTGCTGCGATTGCGGGTGTTCGAGCATCAATGCGTTGCATTGTACAGTTTCGTTCGACTTCGGCTATTCTGGTGACCGTGCCCACGGCTAGCGTTGATAAAAACTCCCCGCACCGAGAAGTAAATTATCTCAACAAGTGTGTGGGGTTCAACGGTTCACACTGCACTTTGTTTGGGGTTCATGCTGAACTTTGTTTGGGGTCCACGCTGAACGCGTGAAAAAGAAGTTGTTTGGGGTTCACGCTGGACTTTGTTTGGGGTCCACGCTGATCCAGGAGGAAAACTACCGCAACAAAAACAGCTCCTAAAGAAACTACCGCAAGAAGAAACCCACTCAGCCCCAGTCCCGCTCCCCCAGTAGATAGGCATTTTGGCTCGAGCGAGTTCTTGCTTCAGCGACCTGATTCGATCGAGTTTCTCTCGCGAGAGAGATCGCAACCTGCATTCCGGAACCATGCCGCCGAATGGGGGGATGAAGCGCCCAGCAGCGGCCGAGGCTGGCGCGGCCCTCAAGCGCCCAGCAGCGGCAGCGACAGATCCCAGTGACAGGGCCGATGCTAAGAAGGAGATGTGGCAGATTGCGGCTGCCGCCGCAAAGACGACTCCAGCCACGTTCAAGGAGTCGGAGGAGGCCGCGCTTGCCATGCGCAAGGAGGGCGAGCCCGACCAGCGGCAGACGTCGCTTGCCCAGCGCCACGTCTTCAAGAGCAGCAGGGAGAGCATCGACCCTGAGGACCTCAAGAAGTATGACTGGTACAAGTCGACGGCGTGCAACATCAAGGGCAAGGAGCGCTTGGCCAACGAGATCATCAACGCGTACGTGCCGCGGGACGCGGGCTACGGGTCCACCATCGAGCCAGACCAGCGCGCCCTGACGCGCGTGAACACTCGGGAGCACGTGAAGAAGGACCATGGGCTACGACGACGACGACGACTACTACTACTACTACTCTCGGCATTCGGAACGGTAGCACCAGGGCCCTAGCCGACAAACAGAGACGACGACGACGACGACGACGACGACGACGACCACCTCTAGGACTCCGACATCGCCACGAGCTTGAAGAAGAACATCATGATCGCGACGGTCTTCAACGGCAGCAGGGCGGCTTTTGAAGAGGCCAAGGATGACGGAGACGTCTGGACGGATCCCGAGGACGACACCCGCTACCAGTACGACCAGAAGATCAAGAAGAACACCGACACAAGGAGCGAGAAGAAGACGGCCACGGTGGTTCTCAACCCCAAGGACAAGAAGGAGTTCATGGGCGCCATTGCCAACATGATGGAGGACATGGAGCGGCCCGAGTGGATGAACTTCGAGGTAAAGAACAAGAAGGAGAGGAAGGCCATCAAAGACGACTGCGCTGACGACACGGACATGATGCTATTGCAGAATGCCAACGACAGCTTCACGAGCGTGACCCTCGACTTGCAGAGGATGGCCCCTCAGGTGTGCCGCATCACCACGAACGAGGTGATCAGGCGCATCGCGCAGGAGAGCCTCGACCTCCTCAAGAAAGCGGCGGGGCCGTCCGAGAAGATTCAGAAGTTGCTGATGACGGACCCTAACTCCGTGCGCAAGCTCGAGGCCGAGGACGCCCTCATCGCAGCAGGCAAGATCTACGAGCAGCTGGCCGAGCTCCACACGCAGCTCAGGGCCATCGTCAACAACGATAAGAAGAAGCAGAAGGCCTCCCTCAAGGCCAAGTGAAGCCAGCCTGCGACAGCGTGAGCACTCAGCATCCTGTGCGCGAACCTGCTTTTTGTGCAGCTGCCACGCGCGGTCAGCGAGCTGAAAGTTAAAGGAGGGGGAGTCAGGAATGCCCCCCCCAGCTCGGGTTAGAAGAAAACGCAAGCATTTAGTGTCCCACAAGGTTGGTTTGAGGAAAAAACACCAGAAACAATATTAAGGATTGTGAAAAAAACAGATAATATCAACTGCAGGTTTATCTTAGATTTATCTTAGATTTATCTTAGATTTATCTTAGATTTATCTTAGATTTCTCTTAGATTTGATGTGTCTGGCGTCTTAGATTTATCTTAGATTTATCTCAGATTTATCTTAGATTTTACAAATCTAATATAACATATCGTAGATTTTACAAATCTAAGATAAATCTAATATTAATCTAAGATAAATCTAAGATGAAAATACACTAAATCTAAGATAAATATAAGATAAATCTAATATAAATCTAAGATAAATCTAATATAAATCTAAGATAAATCTAAGATAAATCTAAGATCCCCCTGACCAGCCGAGGTGCCAATCACCCAAGGGGGGTACCGTCCGAGAGGTCCCGCACGGGTAGCTGTACACTTCACATCAGGACTCAATCTTCTAGATTCATTAACCCATGATGCGAAGTCCACAGAAACCTAATGAGCATACCCATGTACGACAGCTGCTGCACCGTGGATGACCACCTGGCGATCCAGGGTTCCGCCGTCGAAGCGGCTGGCATTAGGGGGTTCTCAGGCCCCTGCCGTTCTTCTCTGCTTCGATGGTGGGCTCGGTCGCTTTGGCCTGGTAATGCCCACCAGGCGATCCAGGGTTCCGCCGTCGGAGCGGCTGGCATTAGGGTGTGTTCAGGCCCCTGCCGTTCTTCTCTGCTTCGGTGGCGGGCTCGGTCGCTTTGGCCTGGTAATGACCACCAGGCGATCCAGGGTTCCGCCGTCGGAGCGGCTGGCATTAGGGGGTTCTCAGGCCCCTGCAGTTCTTCTCTGCTTCGGTGGTGGGCTCGGTCGCTTTGGCCTGGTATGTAAAAACACGTGCATGGGCACGCGCATAGATGAGGAGGAGGAGGAGGAGGACAACGATGTCATGGTAGTCGCGGCTTTGTGCTGTCCAGTGCCAGCGATTGCAGGTTCGGAGTTCCAGGTGACCAGCATTGCTCGCCATCGCAAACGTAAGAAACAATTGTGCTCCAGGAGGGGGAGACTCGAGACGACGGGCTTAGGGGGGCTGCGCCGTTTCGCACCAAAGCCACCCAGTTAAGATTCCCCGATTGCAATAAAAGTGCCACCAGGGATGACGATGACGGGGGGTTCGGGGGATCCCATCGCAGCGCTTGCGTCCCCAACTAATGCTTGCATTCGTAGATCCACAAATAGTGCTTGCAGTACGTGCTTGCAGAAAGTGGTCCCAATCAGTGCTTGCATCCATGGCTCCCCAATCAGTGCTTGCAGTAAGTGCTTGCAACCATGTATCCCAAATCAGTGCTTGCATTCATGGGTCCCCCAATCCCGAAGCAGTGCTTGCAGTGCGTGGTCCCAATCAGTGCTTGCATTCATAGATCCCCAAACAGTGCTTGCAGTAAGTGCTTGCAACCATGGATCCCCAATCAGTGCTTGCATTCATGGATCCTCCAATCCCGAAGCAGTGCTTGCAGTGCGTGGTCCCGATCAGTGCTTGCACTCATAGATCCCCAAACAATGCTTGCAGTACTTGCAGACGGTGGCCCCAATCAGTGCTTGAATCCATGGACTCCCACTCAATGCGTGCACTCATAGGTTCCCAAATCCCAAGACAGTGCTTGCAGCGCGTGGTCCCAATCAATGCTTGCATTAACAATGATAATACAACATGTCCACAGGTTTGCACGGAGATCCCCTCCCATCTTCCCGATGTGGCATTGCAGTTGTGGCTCGAGCGGTAACCCTTCGCTGTGATGCCAGGGAGAGAACAGAAACGCGCGCGGCTGGAGGTGCTTGACACAGCGAATGGCACTGCAGGCTGCACGGGCAAATCGATTCTGTTTGCGTGGAAACACGAGGATTGCATTTGAAGGGGGCCTCTTGGAATCCAGGGGTGCGCTTCCAGGGAACAACATGGGCTCGAACATCGCCCAAGAGAGCATCGCTCTCTCTACGAAATCTGGTTGATCTCCTAAATCGAGGACTGAGGCACAGGGGTGCATGGGGGAGGAGGGAGATGAAGGAGGATAGGTGGAGGGTTTGGATTCGGATTCGGAACGATTGCGAAGCAATATCAACCACCTGACTGGATCTAATCGCGGTGCGATCAGGGGTGGAGCGTTTGGGGGGTCCCCCCAAATTTGCTCCACCCCCCTCCTAGCCATGCTGGACTGGGACTGGGACTGGGATATGTGGAGGGATATGTGGAGGGTAGGAGGGAGAGGAGGAGGGAGGGGTGGAGAGGATGAAGGAGGGAGAGGGGAGGATGATGATTCATTTGTTTTGTGGGACCGCCCGCAGGCACGGTCGGCAGGTTCGACAGCAAAGAGGGGCTCGACTTGATTCAAAGATGGGCCTGGGGCGAAATCAGCGCATCACATGTACAGAAGAAGGCAGCCCTTGCATATTCTGACCAATGCAGGCCATTGAGATCGAGAGGGTTGAGCCCAGACCACGCATCAATAACATTGAAAGTGTTGAGTTCGATTGGCACAAATGGGAAAAACCAGAACAATTGTAAGCGCGATTTGGACGAATGGCTCGGTGATTCAAATGCTCCCCGCGCCTCCTGGCACAGTATTGAAATACATAACAGTTCTGCTCGCTCGGTAGAGTCTTCCACTGAACACTGTGATTTGCCGTTTCTGCTACCGCACCATTTGTTTGCGTGGATGTTTGAGTCGCAGCCGACAAAGTTCATAGATACATTCCTTGGCCCTGGGGGCGGGCCCTCAACGCTTGAGGAGTTTTGGACTGAAGTTGAGTCGAGGGGCGACCCGCGGCTCGCGCACCACCCGATGCTGCGCATGCCTCGGTGGAGACAGAGGGCGATCCCTGTCATGATCCACGGGGACGCCGTCCCCGTGGTGGCGTGCGGCCGGGCTACGGCTGAATCGCTCGACTGTGTGTCATGGTCATCGGTATTCGCGAAAGGGGCAGTGACAAGCCAGAAGATGCTGATTTTCAGTTGCTGTGAAAATAGTAAAACTGCGATAACTATGGAGCAGGCTTGGGCTATCATAGCGTGGTCATTCCAATGGTTGTACAAAGGCGCATATCCGAAGAAAAACCATCTCTTCGAAGATTATGCGCCTGGAACCAGCGAGGCTATGCTGGCAAACTCTGGTGCGACACTCGCTGGGGATTATTTCTGCGTCATTTGGTCCATTAAGGGGGACCTCGACTATTACACAAAATGTCTCAAGTTGAAGCACTACCAGAGGGACGACTTGTGCGAATACGATGACTGCGACATGAAGCACCGCGACCCTGGTATGCACCCGTTCAATTTCACCCGCGGCTGCAAGTGGAAACGTCTTCAGCACAGCGCTGCAGAGTGGCGCCGCAAGCGTGGCCACAACGCACGCCAGATTTTCAAGGCGTTCTCATTTTTGTCAATATTGAATATCGAAGCTGACGAACTTCACACACTTTGGATTGGTCTGTGCCAGTACGCATTGGCAAGTGCGTTATGGCTTCTGTGCTTCCGCATTCTCGACGGCACGATCAAAGAGAACATGGTGCAGGTATGGGCAGAGATCCAATCCCATGGGGGATGTAGCTACAGCAGCATCACGCTCAAGATTTTCATGAATGAGAAAAAACCGTGGGATGAGTTTCCAAAGCTAAAAGGCAGGGGATCTCAGGCCAAAAGCCTGGTCGCACCGTTGTTGCGCGTGTGGGCATGGCATCGATCGGATGACGTACTATATGACACAGTTTTGAATCTCCTTGAGACGCTTCTTGAGATAAGTGACTTAGTGGACTCGACGGCAATGGAGATTTTCATGCCTTTAGCCGACTGTGCCGTGCTGGAAACATCAATGAACAAGTTCTTAGGGTTTTACACCCACGCAGGCCTACTCGCAGATCGCGAAGGCCTTTGTCTTTTTTCAGAGGTGCCAAAATTACATTGGGCTTGTCACTGGATGTCGAGGAGCCGTTGGCTCCACCCCCGTAGGGTAGCCTGCTGGTTGGATGAGGATTTTATGAAGCATTGTAAAATCCTCGCTGGGTACGCCACCAGAGGAACTGCAAAACACAAAGTACCGTGCTATTTTATGCCTCGATACTCGAAGGCCCTTGCTTTAGCACAGGAATTTGTTTCAGAGTGAGCTGGCGCTCGCGTCTCAGGAAAACCAGTTGCAACTACAACAACAAGAGGAGGAGCGTGAGGACGAGGATAGGGAGGATGCGGAGAGGAGAGGGAGGAGGCGGATAACGAGGAGGCGAGCAGGAGGGAGGATCAGGAGGGAGGATGATCCTCAACTGGTAGAGAGCGTTTCCCTACCTCTGTGGCGTGTCCGTCATTCTCCAGGCTCTTTAAGAGGGCCCCAAGATTGCTCCAAAGAGGGCCCCAAGACGGTCCCAAAGGGGGCCCAGGAAAGCTACCCAGCAAGTGTTTTGAAAGGGCTCCCCCAAAAAAATCCCCGAGGGGCTTCTAAGACGGCTCCAGGAGGCTCTAAGAGGGCCCCAAGACTGCTCCAAGGGGCCCCGAAAAGGGCCCCAAGAAGGCCCCAAGGGGGCCCAGGAACGCTACCCAGCAAGTTTAGCCCCCTTACACCTCCACCTTCCCCTCCTTATCCCCTCTTCCCCCTCGCACCGCCCTCTCTCGCCCTCATTATCACCCTTGTAATCCTCCCCCGCTCCCCCCCCCCTCCTTTCATCATACTCCGCCGTTTTCCTCATCACTATCGTTCTTCTTCTTCATCCTCCTCCTCCCCCTTCCTCCCTCCCACGGGGGTGATCGGGCGTGGCTTGGGAGGCGTCCGCCCATTAACCGCCCCTTAGATCCGCCCCTTAGATCCGCCCCTTAGATCCGCCCTTAACTTAACTTAAGTTCTTCCCTTAGATCGCCCCCTTATCTAAAGTCGAACTTAACTTAGAACTTACAACTTATCTTAGATCTTCGGATCTAAGGGGCGGTGATCTCTATGGCAGTTGGCTCCGGGCATTCAGAATGTGGCCCGGGAGTGGAGTTCTGGGACCTCGAAGACCACGAAGTGTATAACTGTTGGCTAAATTATCCTGGCGAAGGACCCAACCATATACAATTGTGAATAAAGCTTTGTGGGTGCCGCTTTCGGTGGGGCTCCTTATGGGGCCACGAAAGGCGTGCCACGAAACGCTGTCCTGGGCGTACGGGGGCTTTCTGTGGAGCTCACTATGGCGCCACGAAACGTGTGAGGGGTGTGCCGAAATAGGTGCGGCGCCGCCATGCCAACGCAGCCACTAGGGCCTTCAGTGGGGCTCCCTATGCAGCTACGAAACGTGTGAGGGGTGTGCCGAAATAGGTGCGGCGCCGCCATGCCAACGCAGCCACTAGGGCCTTCAGTGGGGCTCCCTATGCAGCTACGAAACGTGTGAGGGGTGTGCCGAAATGGGTGCGGCGCCGCCATGCCAACGCAACCATTGGGGCCCTCGGTGGAGCTCCCTATGGCCCTATGGGGCCACGAAACGTGTGAGGGGTGTGCCGAAATGGGTGCGGCGCCGCCATGCCAACGCAGCCACTGGGGCCCTCGGTGGAGCTCCCTATGGGGCCACGAAGCGTGTGAGGGGTGTGAAATGGGTGCGGCGCCGCCATGTCAACGCAGCCACTGGGGCCTTCGGTGGAGCTCCCTATGGGGCCACGAAACGTGTGAGGGTGTGCCGAAATGGGTGCCATGCCAACGCAGCCAATGGGGCCCTCGGTGGAGCTCCCTATGGGGCCACGAAACGTGTGAGGGGTGTGCCGAAATGGGTGCGGCGCCGCCATGCCAACGCAGCCACTGGGGGGGCCTTCGGTGGAGCTCCCTATGGGGCCACGAAACGTGTGAGGGGTGTGCCGAAATTGGGCGGTGCCGCCATGCCAACGCAGCCACTGGGGCCCTCGGTGGAGCTCCCTATGGGGCCACGAAACGTGTGAGGGGTGTGCCGAATTGGGTGCGTTGCCGCCATGCGAACGCAGCCACTGGGGCCCTCGGTGGAGCTCCCTATGGGGCCACGAAACGTGTGAGGGGTGTGCCGAAATGGGTGCGGTGCCGCCATGCGAACGCAGCCACTGGGGCCTTCGGTGGAGCTCCCTATGGGGCCACGAAACGTGTGAGGGGTGTGCCGAAATGGGTGCGGTGCCGCCATGCGAACGCAGCCACTGGGGCCTTCGGTGGAGCTCCCTATGGGGCCACGAAACGTGTGAGGGGTGTGCCGAAATGGGTGCGGCGCCGCCATGCCAACGCAGCCGCTGGGGCCCTCGGTGGAGCTCTCTATGGGGCCACGAAACGTGTGAGGGGTGTGCCGAAATGGGCGCGGTGCCGCCATGCGAACGCAGCCACTGGAGCCGTCGGTGGAGCTCCCTATGGGGCCACGAAACGTGTGAGGGGTGTGCCGAAATATGTGCGGTGCCGCCATGCGAACGCAGCCATTGGGGCCTTCGGTGGAGTTCCCTACGGGGCCACGAAACTTGTGAGGGGTGTGCCGAAATGGGTGCGGTGCCGCCATGCGAACTCAGCCACTGGGGCCTTCGGTGGAGCTCCCTATGGGGCCACGAAGCGTGTGAGGGGTGTGCCGAATTGGGTGCGGTGCCGCCATGCGAACGCAGCCACTGGGGCCCTCGGTGGAGCTCCCTATGGGGCCACGACGCGTGTGAGGGTGCCGCTATGCGAGCGCAGCCACTGGAGCCCTCGGTGGAGCTCCTTATGGGGCCACGAAACGTGTGAGGGGTGTGCCGAAATGGGTGCGGTGACGAGGGGGGGGGCAGCGGGAGGAGGAGACGCGGGGCATCGTCTCTTCAAAACGAGGACCCAACACCACAGGATGGTTAGGAAAAAAAGTCCCCGGCATCACCCCGGATCGCGCCCAGACCCCCTCTGGGGCGTCATGATGTTGTGTCTTTGGACCCTACTAGAAACCTATCAGTCTTCGATGGAAGGTAAAATAGTCAAACAATAGTCCCCAGACTACTTTTTACTATTTTTGAATATTCCCCCTGTAGAGGGACAGGCCCGACTTGACGGTACAACACGAATTCTTCCGCTATCGGGAGCACGTGCCCCAGGGCGGTTGGGAAGTTTGGTTCTACGGTGGCAGGCGGGGATTTAAACTTCCCTGCCGTACATGTGCCAGCCGCCCTGGAACAGGCGCCCCCGATCGCGGAAAAGTTTATGCTATACCGTTTTTCGCCCGCCAGATCCGCGATGTCGGACCCTTCCCTTGAACATCACCACCCAGCGCTTGCGCTGAAGACTTGCGAAGACCCCTCTCGAGCGCGAAAGATACCCGTACCCTTACCCAGACGGGGTGGCAAGGGGCCCTCGGGGCATCACCCCCCCTGGGTCCGGGTCGGCTCCCGAAACCACCATACATACCCGTACCTAGACGGGGTGACCCAACCACCACCCCAGCTAGGTCCGGGTATGTATGGTTGTTTCGGGCACCGACCCGTACCCAGACGAGGTGGCGGCAAGGCCGAAAACGCTCTAGCGGGCGGCCCTTTTCACCCCAGCTGACCCCGGGTCCGGGTATGTTTTGGGCTAGTGAACCCCGGGTAACCGCATGACGGTCCGATGACCTCTGATGGCCGATGGGTAGCAAAGGTGCCATGTCTCATATACCGGAAACTCGGCCCCGTGGGCCAAGTGCACATGAAATACATTGAGTTCCCCGCCCCAAGACGGCCCACGAGGTCCCCAAGAGTGCCCCAGGACGGTCCAAGAGGCACTCAGGACCGCCCAGGACGGCCCCAAGAGGGGCCCAAGAAGGGGAATTCGAGCGAACATCTCGAACACTGCAGGGACATACGTCTCGGATTCGTGCTTGTGTCTTGCGTGCGGGCGAGGCGAAGCTGTGTGGGCGGGCGAAGGGATCGAATCCTCCTGGCCAGGGCGCCGCTGTGCCAACGGACGTGCCCGCCCCGGTGGGCCGGCGCTGGCGGGGGGTGTCCCGCCGCGGTGCCCCGTGGTGTCCTGCGATGGCCCGTCGGTGGCCCGCTGGCGTCCTGTAGGGAGATCGATGTGGAGATCGATAGTGAGATCGACAGCGAGAGACTGCGGGTGGGATCGATGGTGGAATCGATGGTGAGGTCGATTGTGAGAGCTATAGTGAGAGGGGGTATTGGGAGGGATAGTGAGATCGATTGTGAAATCGATCGTGAGATCGATAGTGGCTCGAGGTACCTATACGACCACCCTTCTAGTGATATTGAGGTCCGCGGGGGAGGATTCAACGTCTCGTCAATCGATCGCACTATCGAATCGATCTCATTCGATCGGTCTCAGTATCAATCTCACTATCGATCTACAATCGATCCAACTATCGATCTTACAATCGATCTCACTGTCTCTGTCACTATCGATTTCAACATCGGAAAGAGCGTGTTCTGTGGTCGCTTGGAGGGGGGGGGGGTGGAACCGGACACCCACCCCCTTGGATAGAGGGGGGAGGGGGGTTCGAAACCCATCACCCCCCCCCGTCCCGCGACGGAGGGGGGGGGTTCAACCCCCCCCCTCCCCCCTGCTCCCCCCTGCTTCCATTTCTGGGCCGGCGCCGGCCGGCGCCTGCGGCTGCGGGCGGCGGTGGCGGGGAGCGTCGACGAGGACAACGGCGGTGGCGGGCGGCGGCGGCGGCGGCGGCGGGGAGCGTCGACGGGGAGCGGGAGGGGCGGCGGGGAGCGGCGGGTGGTGTGGTGGTGGGTTGTGGTGGTGGTGGTGGTGGCGGTGGTGGTGGTTGTGGTGGTGGTGGTGTGGCGGTTTGTTGTGGTGGTGGTGGTTGTGGCGGTGGGTTGTGGTGGTGGTGGTGGTGGTGGCGGTGGTGGTGGTTGTGGTGGTGGTGGTGTGGTGCTTCGTTGTGGTGGTGGTGGTGGTGGTTGTGGCGGTTGGTGGTGGTGGTGGTGGTGGTTGTGGTGGTGGTGTGGTGGTGGTGTGTGGGGTGGTGGTGGGTTGTGGTGGTGGGTGGTGGTGGTGGTTTGGTGGTGGTGGTGTGGTTTGGTGGTGGTGGTGGTGTGGGTTGTGGTGGTGGTGTTTGGTGGTGGTGTAGTGGTAGTTTTGGTGGTGTGGTGGTTGTGGTTGTGGTGGTGGTTTGTGGAGGTGGTGGTGGTGGTGGTGGTGGCGATGGTGGTGGTGGTGTGGTGGGTTGTGGTGGTGGTGGTGGGTTGTGCTGCTGGTAGTGGTGGTGATTGTAGGTTGTGGTGGTGGTGGTGGTGGTGTGGTAGATTGCGGTGGTGTTGGTGGTGGTGGTGTGTGGTGGTGGGTTTTTGTGGTGGTGGTGGTGATTGTGGGTTGTGGTGGTGGTGTTGTGGTGGTGGTGTGGTGGTGGTGTGGTGGTGGTTTGTGGTGGTGTTGGTGGTGTGGCGGTGGTTTGTAGACGTATGTTGTGGAAGTGGTGGTGGTGGCCGTGGTGGTGGTGGTGGTGGTAGTGGTGGTGGTTTGTGGTGGTGGCAGTGGGTTGTGCTGCTGGTAGTGGTTGTGGCGGTGGGGTTGGTGTTAGTATATTGTGGTGGTGGTAGTGGTGGTGGGTTTTTCTGGTGGTGGTGGTGATGGTGAGTTGTGGTGGTGGTGGTGGCTGTGGTGGTGGTGGCTATGGTGGTGGTGGCTGTGGTGGTGGTGGTGGTGGTTTGTGGTGGTGGTGGTGGTGGGTTGTGGTGGTGGTGGTTTGGTGGTGGTGTGGTGGTAGTTTGTGGTGGTGGTGGTGGGTTGTGGTTGTGGCGGTGGTTTGTGGAGGTGGTGCTGGTGGTGGTGGTTTGGGGTGGTGGTGGTGGTGTGGTGGGTTGTGGTGGTGGTGGTGGGTTGTGCTGCTGGTAGTGGTGGTGATTGTAGGTTGTGGTGGTGGTGGTGTGGTAGATTGCGGTGGTGTTGGTGGTGGTGGTTTGTGGTGGTGGGTTTTTGTGGTGGTGGTGGTGATTGTGGGTGTTGTGGTGGTGGTGTGGTGGTGGTGTGGTGGTGGTTTGTGGTGGTGTTGGTGGTGTGGCGGTGGTTTGTAGACGTTTGTTGTGGTGGTGGTGGCCGTGGTGGTGGTAGTGGTGGTGGTAGTGGTGGTGGTTTGTGGTGGTGGCGGTGGGTTGTGCTGCTGGTAGTGGTTGTGGCGGTGGGGTTGGTGTTAGTATATTGTGGTGGTGGTAGTGGTGGTGGGTTTTTCTGGTGGTGGTGGTGATGGTGAGTTGTGGTGGTGGTGGTGGCTGTGGTGGTGGTGGCTATGGTGGTGGTGGCTGTGGTGGTGGTGGTGGTTGTGTGGTGCTGCTGGTGGTGGTTGGTTGAGGCGGTGGTGGTGTTGGTAGTGGTGGTGAAGGGGTACCGGTGGAAATCGTCGCTGCGTCCCCGCCGTCGCCGGCGCCAGCGCCAGCGTTGCTGGCCGCCGCCAGCGCCAGCGCCGGCGTGAGGAGGGTGCGGGGGAGTTTGAAACCCCCGCCCCCCCCGGCGCCAGGGAGGGTGGGGGGGGGGGTTTGGTTTGAACCCCCCCCCCCTTGAGCAGCCTCTGGTCATCGTCGCTGCGTCCCCGCCGTGGGCGCTGCTGGCGGCCGCCAGCGCCAGCGCCCGCGCCGGCGCCGAAGGGGGGGGGGGGTTTGAACCCCCCCCCTCCTGGGAGGGGGGTGGGTTCGGGAGGGGGGGTTTGGGGGGGAGGGGAGTCCCCTTGATTTTTATCGACGGCGCCGAGTGTTGGGGGGAGGCCCACCCCCGGTTTGAAACGCGCCGCCGAATGTTCCTAAGGCAAGCGCCCGTGAAACGCGTTCTCTCCAATATCGCGATTACGCCCTATCTGACAATCGACCTCACAATCGATCGCACTATTGATCTCAAAATTGATCTGATCGCCGATATCACTATCGATCTCACGATCGATCTCACTATCGATCTCACTAGTGGTCTCATTAGCAGTCCAGCTATCGATCTCACGATCAATCTCCTTATCGATTTCACAATCGATCTCACTAGCGGTCTCACTATCGATTCCACTACCGATCTTACTATCGATCCCATTGTCGATCTCACTGTCGAGCTCACTGTCGATCTCACTATCGATCTCACGATCGATCGCACTATCGATCTCACTCTCGTTCTTACGGGGCACCACAAGACGCCACGCGACACCGAGGGACACCATGGGACACCACGGGATAGCACCTGGACACCACGGCGGGACACCACGGCGAGACACCACAGGACACCACGGGACACCACGGAACATTGCAGGACACCACGGGATACCGCGGGACACGGCGGGACTCCACAGGACACCACGGGACACCACGGCGGGATACCACGGCGGGTGTCCCCCGGGCACCCGCCCGCCGCGCGGCCAGGGTGTGGGCGGGCTTGGGCCCTCGCCGCGCCCCTAGCCAGAGGAGGGCGTTTTTCAGGAAGGAAAATATCAGGCACAATTCGTCGTCGATCGTTAGGAAAATATAGAGAAATATAGGACGTGGGGGGGAAGACGAAAATCCAGAACATATGTGAAAATATTGGGAATCTGGTGTTTTGTGTATTTATTTGTGTGTCCCCGGGCCCCATTCATCTTTCCTCTCGCCCGCCCACGCAGCTTCGCCTCGCCCGCACGCGCGACACGAACCCGAAACCGGAACCGATTTCCCGGTGGGGGGCTCTCCGCTTCACTTCGATCTCGCACCCCCATTTCCAATAATATTATATTTTCTGCATTCGGGGGCAATTGTCCCAGGGCGGTTGGGGAGTTTATGCCCATACTGTGGCGGGCGGGGTTGTAAACGTCACAGCCACTCTGGGGACAGGCGCCCCCGATCCCGGAAAAGTGCCGTTCTTCGCCCGCTGCTTTTCAGAGCCGCGTTGTCGGACCCCTTGTTGAACATCACCATCCAGCGTTTGGGCTGGGGACCGCCGAAGACCGCGGGAAACCGCCGAATACGACCGAAGGCCACCGAAGACGGCCCGCAAACCGCCGAAGACCTCCTCAGAGGCCGATGGGTATAGCAATGAGGCCATGGTCGAATACGCAGCATTCGGGATCCGCGTTGTCTGCTTTCATGCCTCGTGCTCCAAGAGTGGGGAAGTGATTGCTGGGCTCTCGTGTCTTCCGTATGATAGCACGATGACTGTATCTGAGGCTGCCCCAAGGTCGGGCGAGGCGTTCTCGCTTGAGTGATTGCGATCGTGCAGCCCCGCTCGAAGATGTTAGCCGGCGGAGAGGGGTACAGCAGCAATCTGTCCTCCATCGCGGGCACGTGCCCCGTAGCGGTTGGGAAGTTGTGCCCTTGTTGTGGAAGGGGCGATTTTCCCAGCCGCCAGCTAACAGACAGGTGCCCCCGATCGCGGACAAGCCAATGCTATACCGGTCTTCGCCCGTTGCACTTCAGATCCGCATTGTCGGCCCCCATTTTGAACATAACCATGCAACGTTGGCGCTGCAGACCGCCGAAGAAAGCGCGGGACACCGCCGAAGAACACCGAATGCCGCCGGAGACGGTCCGAAGATCGCATGAGGCCTATGGGTAACGAGGGGGCCATGGTCGACTACGTAGCACTTGTGATCCGCGCTATCTGCTTGCATGCATCGTGCTCCGGGAGTGGGGAGGTGACGGCAGGGCTCTCGTGTCCTCCTCGTTCACAGTGCCCCGCTTCGCGGTGGGCTCGCCCGCCTCCCCCGCCGCCTCTCTCCGCGCCGGTGCGCTTTTGCTCGAGGGCGGGCAGCATGTCTCAGAGGCAACGTTTTAGGGGGATGGGTTCGGGGGGGACGATCTTCCTTGAATGAAGGTTCGAGGAGTTCGGACGTTTCCGTATGTTCTCCGCGGTTTTCCAGCCTCAGGGTGCGTTCCAGCAGCTGCGCCTCGCTGAGAGCGTTCCAGGGGTGCTCGGATCGTCCCGAACGGCCGCCGGGGGGCCGAGTTGTGGCCTGAAAATCGTTTTGGGCAATGTCAGGGAGGGATAGCATCTCCCCAATCGCCCATTCATCGCCGATGAGGGCACCCCACCCAGGAACGTTCGGATTCTGTATCGGGGACCAACGGCCGATCTGTCGGCGATTTATCGTTGGTTCCAGCTCGACGTTTCCCACGTGAGCCAGTCCCCCTCGAATCTCCTACTGAGAAGGGTTGAGTCCATGTCCACGGCCTCGTGGTCGGGACTCCTCGGCCGCGACCCCGATTGATGCAGGGCGGCTGCGCACAAATACCACCCGCCGGGCGTATTAATTAGGTCGCGTATCCGTGACATCGCGCCTCGCCGTGTTCAAATCGTGAGTGCATGGGTCTGAATGTTTACCGCTCGTGACTTGCCACGCCGTCGTCGTCATCAATCCACGGTCGGTGGGCGACGCTAGGAGTTGACGCACAACGATCCGAGTAGCGATTGTTAGCACGTGCGTTGTCTGTTGTGTTGTGTGTGCTTGTGCGTGTGTATGTTGATGTGTGAGGCATGGTTGATCCATTGCGGATCCCTGCCCCGTCTTCTGAGGGGCCGTCCGCGCGCGCTCTCTTGTCGTTTGGGGAATTTCTCCGCCTCGTCGCTGCGAGCGAGGTCGCGACCGCCAACAAAAAGTGTGCGCGTATGTGTTTGCGAGCCGGCCCGGCTGCGCGCTCGCTGCCCTCGACAGTCTACGCTGCGCCGCCGTGGGCGTGGCCGCGACGCCCGCGCCGGTGTGTGTATGTGTGTGTGTGTGAGTGGCTCCACTGAGCGGCCCCAGACCGCTTCCTCCTCCTCTCGGCCGTCGCCTTGTCGTCTTCCTGCCCCCCTCCTGCGTCGTTTCTCAATTCGGTTAACGTCTGCCTCGTTTCGCTTCTGTCGCCAGCGCAGTGACCTCTGCCTAGCCGCCGGCGCAAAAAGTGTGTGTGTGTGTGGTTGTGTGTTGTATGTGTCGAATGTGTTGCGTGTGTGATGTGTGTGTGTGTGTGGTGCACGTGTGTGTGTGTGTTGTGTGTGTGTTGTATGCGTGCTGGTTGTTGCGTGTGTGTCTCTGGTGAGTGCTCCCGTCGTGACAGTAACATTTGTGCACCCCGCTCGGCGCCTCAGGGTGCGCGGTCGTGCGCGAGCCCCCCAGGATTCCATACTCCTTGTGAGGGCGATTCGCAGATCCGTCATCTGCTCTTCGTCTTCCATGTACGAAGACCCACACCATCCTTCTCTCTCCAGGGCTCGCCACTCTATCGAGCCCGCCGCGCAGATTTTTCACAACGAGAAGTGCGGCGGAGCACAGGCTGTCGACGACACACGGTCACGAATAACCGGTAACGCGTAATTGTTTCTAGGGCGTTCGCTCATTGTGTGCTTTTGACACACGGGTGTGATGCAGCCAGAAGTGTTCATTGATGTGTTTGACACGGCCTTCGCACAGCCAATACGGTCTTGCTGCATCAGCGCCACCTACGTGCGATGAGCCTTGTACAAGTACGCATTACGTTGATCGGCTCCATAATCTGACCCGTGCTTCACTCTCCCTCGACCAGTGGACGCACTGAGTACCAGGATTGAGGTCGGTGCATAAGAATGTTCGGTTTGCTCTGCACTGGTCACTCCCCCCCATGCCCTTCGACCTTTGAACTTGGCGTGGATCTGGAGCCGTGAGGTGCGCATCATCGTTACTGACAGCGGATGTGATCCCCGCTGCCCCATCATTGTTCTGCTTTTTCTCGCCACCCGGAGATTGGAGCGGAAGAAGTACAATTCCGCGACAAAATCACGATTGGAGCCATGACCCATTTGTTTCAGGAGGGGAAGAAACACAGGCACAATTACTCGTCGACCCCCCGGAAAATATGGGAAAATATGGGAAGTGGGGTGGAAGACAACAACCCAGAAAATATTGGAAAATATTGGGGATCCTATGATTTGTGTCTATCTGTTTGTGTGTCCCAGGGCCCCTTCACCAATTGTTCTGCTGCACTGTTCGAGTTGGACCGGTCCGCCAGGTCCTCGGGGCCCGAAATTGGGCGAAGCCGCCCATTGTGAAACAAGCGCAACGCCCAGAACTCAGGGCAGGAAGCTGCGTGCACAGGGCGGGGGTTCAGTCGAGCGCGTCCCTCTACATGAGGAATATTCAAAACAAGTCCAAAAATAGTCTGGGGACGATTTTTTTGGGCTGCTCGTGAACATTTTAGGAGTATTTTTCGACTGCGTTTTATTCTTCGACCAAGATCCGCCTGTAGGGGGACATGCCCGACCTAAGGCTGGGGCCAGCCCGGGCGAGGGCCGGGCACACCGGCGGCCCCACGCGTTTCGTTGGCGCTCGCCCCCCCCCCCCGCGCTGCCGTGCGAGGCGGCCCTCCGCAGGTGTTTCCAGCGCGTGGCCTCCGCACGCTCCGCACGCAGCAGGCCAGGTGCGACGGAGATGTGCGCGGGCCCTCCGAGGTCGCAGGCGATTCCCCACTCCCCAGTCCCTGACTTTCCCCCGACAGGCCAGGCCGCTCAGCAAAAGGGGGGGGGAACTCGGGGTACGCCCCGAGGGGGCCCTTCTGATTCACCCCTATCGGGGATGGACGTCCCCTGCCATGCGGCCCCCAGTTTTGAACTGAAATCTTTGGTCCACCTGATAGCCCCACGGAGTCGAAGATTGTGTGGTCGCCATCCCCCCCGTGAGGAGGTCGGCGCAGATCTCCTGCGTCGGCGATGAACAGCACGAGAGCAAGACCCTCGGCGCACGGAGGGTTGTCCGCGAGGGGGGGGGGGGGGCCCAGCGCCGACCTCCAGACGCAGGAGGTCCGCGCGCACCTCCGGAGAGCCGCCAAGTGCTCGTGTCCTCAGACTGCCTCCGAGCGAGGGGGTGCAGTCTCTTGGCAGACCTCCAGCTCGCCCCCCCCCCTCTCCCCTCGACCTCCTGATCGCCCTCCCCTCCCTCCCCTCCCTCCCCTCCTGCTCAAAGGAGTTTGCAGCACCGTTCGGCGACGTGCTGTCAACCACACCTGCAGGGCGGGCCCTTCGCATTTTCCTGTGCACTCTAACTTCGGCGTAGGGCTATGCTGCGTGTGCACTGCGAAGCGCCGCTGGGCCAGCTCGCTCGAGCCAGTTTTCCGCTGACATGGACGCCTGCCTCCCCCTTTCGCTTGCTCGCTCTCACCTGTCTCTTTTGGGATGTGACTCATGGAAGGTTAAAGACTGAATCGGCGCTAACATTTCTCTGGTCAAAGACTTGCGCAACGTGGCCGGCTCAATCCCGTTTGCTCCAGCTTTTAATCGCGTTGAATATGGCTTAGTATTTGACTTAATTAGGCCTGGTCCGGCTCCATGAACATGAATCAAGATTCAACGCCCTTCATTTCTTACGAAGGCCTCCCAGAAGCTGCCTCCTAACCCTCGTGGCAGCCTCCCTCTCCCCTCCTGATCGCCCCCCCCCTCCCCCCCGATCGGCCACAGGCAAAAGTGACCTTTCTCCGGAGTGGCCTTTTGGTGCGGGCCCAATGATGGGGCGCCGCGGTCGCTGAATGCGATGCCATAGCAGCGGCTTGCGCGCCTGGTTGTGCCGAAAAGCTGCCCCGTCCTTAGGCCGCGTACCAAAAGGTTACTCTTGCCTGGGGACACTCTGGCGTGTGGCCGATCCGGGCACATGCAGGCCTTGGAAAAAATAGCGGACATTCATGCCACATTCATCTGTGAACGACTCCCACTCCCCCCAATGTTCAAGATTGGCGGTGGGTCTGATGAGTTGCCCCTCGACCGCAGTCTCCCCCGCGCGTGCTAACTTTGAGTTTTGGGGGCAGGGGGGGTGTTCACTAATTGTTTCCCTCTGCCGTGTGTGCTCCAGCCTCCTGGCCCGATCCTCCTCCCTGTCGTCCCTGCGGCGGCGAGGCGGGCCCGGCGCTGCGCCTCAAGCTGTTCCCGCTCGGCTCGCGGAGGCGGACGCTGCCGGGGCACTGCTCGCTGTACGTGACAGGAGGGCGCGCGGGGGGGGTCGGGGAGGCCAGTTGGGAAGGCTTCGAGCTGCGGACAGCCGCAGCGCCCCCAGGTAGAACTGATGTGGATCTTAAGCTCGCGCTGCCTGAGCACATAGTAGCTGCCCCACAGCTGATTGACAAGGGGACATGCTAGGAGGACGCGCCGCGGAACGTTCCAAGGGACGCGCCAGGCGACGTCCCAGGGGACAACTGGCCTCAACAGGCCACCCCCCAGGTAGTCACAGCTGGCCTCAGCACGCCGCCCGAGTATCGGGGTGTCAACTGGACCCCCCCCTCCCCGAGACCACCCCGTACTACTCGGGGGGCATGTTGAGGCCAGGTGGGGCTTCTCGGGGGGCCTGTTGACGCCAGTACCACGCAACCCGAAGCCTTACCACGTGGTGGTGGGGAGGCCGCTGCTGCAGGGAGGGCGCTCGCGGTTCTGAACGTGGAGGAGGAGGAGGCGGAGGAGGAGATGGATGCGCAGAAGGCAGCGACATACCTGGAGATCCGACGGTACGAGTTGTTCGATCCTGTATTTTCTCTTGATTTCGGCGCTCGGTGGCGCGTCATCGGGCGCTGGGACCATCAAACATGGATCCGGGACGAGAAGCTGTCCCAGGGAAGGGGTCGGGTGCTCTAGGGCCGCGCATTGAATTAATCAGATCGTCGGATGCCTGAGTATACACACATGCGCGGTCAGTTTCCGACTGCCTGCGTTTGAGCGCGGTCGCACGTGCACGCGTGATCGCAGAGGGCGTGCATGTGCACATGTATTGCCATGCCGAGACGTCAAGGAGAGAATGAGGATGCAGGAGGAGAGAGGACGACCTCGGCGGGGGAGGACGACGGCGACGGAGGAGGAGGAGGAGGAGGAGGAGGAGGAGGAGGAGGAGGAGGAGGAAGAAGAGGAGGAGGAGGATGAGGAGGAGGAGGAGGAGGTCGGGGGCGATGGGGAGGACGCGGAGGGCGAGGGGACGGGGAGGACGGAGAGGACGAGGGAATCGAGGAGGATGGAGATGACGAGGGGATCGATGACGAACGCGAGGCGGCGACGGAGGACGAGGAGGTCGGAGAGGGCGAGGGGGTCGAGCACGACACCGAGGGGCATTCAGGATCGTCGAGGACGACCTTCGACGTCCAGGACTGGGACAAGAGGGATAATGAGGAGGAGCAGGCGGAGGAGCAGGAGGAGGGAGTGAGGAGGACTGCAGAATGTGGAGGAGGGGGGAGGAGGGTGGAGGTAGTTGGGAGGAGGACGAGGAAGGAGGCAGAGAGGGACTTGTAAGGAGGGGAGGGGGGGTGCAGAACGAGGGGTGGGATGGATAGGGAGAATGAGGATCGGCAGGGAGCGGAAGCAGAGGAGTAGGAGGAGGAGTACGAGGAGAGAGGAGGGAAACAGGTGATAGGGGATTTCGGAATTACAGGAGACCTGATTAGACGAGGGCTCCATGGAGACAAATATGGTTCGGATGACGTGGATGAGCTCATTCATCCGATGCGATGTGTTTCCTTCTGCTCCTGCATCATAGCGCTGGTACCTCGCAATTGTGGCATGAGGAGTTGTGGTCAACTGGAAACAACATTTCCGGAGAAAGGATAGGGAAGAGGTGGGCAGGAGGAGGAAGAGGAGATGGCGGAGGTGTCAGGAGGAACATGAGGAGCAGCAGCATGGGTGGGAGCATGACCAGGATGAGAAGGACACGAGGGCCAGGCCATATAGCTCGGGCCAGCCAGACGGCCCGCCTACCCCCACCCCCCCGTCCACACCACGAGGATCCATTCTGACACGACGCAGGGACCAACCCTGACGATAGGGACCCGCCCGCGCTCGCACGTGGCCAACGTGAGGTTCTCGTTGGCGCCGACGCGCCTCCTCCTCCTCCTTCCGCTGCATGGGAGGGGTGACTTGCGGGGGGGGGGGGGGGGGGCATCCTCCTCCTCCTTTTCCTCCTCTTCCTCTTCCTCCTCCTCCTCCTCCTCCTCCTCATCCTCCTCCTCCTCCTCCTCAACCTCCTTTACCTCCTCCTCCTACCCCCCCACCCTCCTCCTCGTCGCCCTCCTCCTCCTCCTCCTCCTCCTCCTCCTCCTCCTCCTCCTCCTCCGTCCCCCCCCGTCTCCCCCCCCACTGGTCAGGGCCGGAGGGCGCGCACCTCGAGTTTCTGCTGCGCCTGGGGGCCGAGGAGCACGGCCCGCTGGAGTGCTCCTTCGACCGCGGGGCGCCCGGGCGGCGGGGCCCCGCGCGGCGGCAGGCGGTGGCCCCCGGGGAGACCCGCCCTCGGTCGGGGGGCGTCCAAGAGGCTCCTCCTCCTCCTCCTCCTCCTCCTCCTCCCTCCTCCTCCTCCTCCTCCTCCTCCTCCTCCTCCTCCTCCCTCGGTCAGGGGCGTCTAAGAGGCTCCTCCTCCTCCTCCTCCTGCTCCTCCTCCTCCTCCTCCCTCGGTCAGGGGCGTCCAAGAGGCTCCTCCTCCTCTTCCTCCTCCTCTTCTCTTCCTCCTCCCTTCTCCTCGTCCTCCTCCTCCTCCTCCTCCGCCTGCTCCTCCTCATGGGGACGATGTGTTGATTATTTTTGCTTGTCATCTCTGCATATGTTTGGTGCATGTTTTGTTCGTCCGAGATCCGCCTGTAATCAGGGGGACATGCCCGACCTAAGACTACGTCGACTACGTATGCGAGGGGGCGGGTGTCATGGCTGGGGCCACGGTACTACCCCGTTGCTAATGTTTGTGCCCATTTTGCCATTGTGCCGATGTGAGTCGAGGTGCGCGGAGAGAGCGTATCTTCGGCCAGCACTGCGACGAGGCAACGTGTCACTGAGCGCAGGATCACCTCGCCGTCGCTGAGCGCAGAACTAACTCTGCACGCTGTTTTTTCACGCGGAGCAAGCCTCTCCGTGTGAAAACAGCACGAGGAATAAGCTTTTACAGTGTAAGATAATAGTCGAAGGAAGACTCGGACGAGGGACCCGTAAAATAGTAATTAATGAAGGCTTAGACGTGGGACCGAAACTTGCTCCGCCGCCGGCGGACCACATGTATTAGGGTCATCGAAGACGCCTGCGGCGAATCACCGCCGCCCCCTGCCCCTTCGGAAGCGCCTCTGTGCCAGAGCCCCAGGGGGAGTTCTTTTGGAAAAGAACCAAAACCAATTCCGAAACCATCTAGCACGCCAGGCACCCCTGTGATGAATCAACAGGGGGCGGCGGATCCTGCTCCTGCGGCAAGTCCCGCCACCGTGCCAGTCTAGCATTCTGGGTGGCAACTGTTCGAGGGTGGAAGAGCCGTCATGAGGATGCGGGTGAGGATGAGGATGAGGATGATGATGAGGAACATTCTGAAACTGATCTGGATTACGAACATGATGATAATAATGGTGCTTAATATCATGATGATGCTGATGCTGATGATGATGATGCTGCTGATGGTGATGATGCTGATGGTGGAGGTGGTGGTGATAATGGTAATGATGATGATGACGATGACGATTATTATGGTGCCGGTGATGGTGATGGGAATTATGATGATGGTGGTGACGATGATGATGATGACGATTATGATGGGTATGATGCTGATGAGGATGATGATGCAGGTGAAGATGATGATGACGATGAGGATGAGGATGCTGATGATGCTGATGATGCTGATGGTGCAGATGCTGATAATGATGATACTGATGCTCACGATGACGTCGACGATGATGATGATGATGATTATGATGATGGCCACGTTGATAATGACGATGATGATGATGATGATGATGATGATGATGATGATGATGATGATGATGATGATGATGATGATGAGGTTGATGATGATAATGCTGATGATTATGATGGGGATCCTGATGATGATGATGATGATGATACTGATGATGCTGATGATGTCGGTGATGATGATGGTGATGATGCTGCTCGCTCTGGTCATAACTTGGGAAACGTATATATTCAGAAGGACGGCCATGCTGACGATGACGGTGATATTGATGGTTATGTTGATGGTGATTGTGATGATGTTGATGACGATGGTAATGATGTCGACGAGGTGGATGAGGTTGAGGATAAGGATTAAAATTATGGTGATTGCGATGATGAGGATGATGAGGACAGTGAGGATGATGATCATGCTTATGGTGATGATGATGCTGGTGATGATGATGCTGATGATGATGATGCTGATGATGCTGATGGTGATGATGATGAGAAGATACTGATGATGGTGATGACGATGATGAGGATGATGATGATGAGGAGGAGGAGAAGGAACAGGAGGAGGGGGAGGAAGAGGAAGAAAAGGAAGAACGTCACACGTAACACCTTTCATCTTCAGTATTTGAGGAGCTCTCATGGAACTCGTTTGGGTCATCTTAGGCCTGTCTGTGCCTCCTCTGAGGCAGTCTTGGGGGTCCCTGTGGGCCCTCTTGGACCGTTGTGAGGCCCTCCTACGCCGTCTTGGGGCTATCTTAGGCCGTCGTGGGGTCCTCTTTGCCGTATTGTGGGTGTGGGGCCGTTTTTGGGCCGTCGAAATGCTTTCCAGGGCCATCTTGGGTCCCACGGCAGGCCTTTGGGGTTGTCTTGGGTCCGATTTGGATGCTTTTTGAGCCATCGTGGGACCTCTTGGGGCCCTCTTTGGGGGCTCTTGGGGCCACCGTGGAGGCTTCTTGGGTCATCTTGAGCTGATTGCGGAGGCCCGAAAAGGCGAGCATGCAACAATCATCCCAACATCCAAGGGGTATTAATGAGTTTGGCTTCTTCGGGCTCGGTTTGAGGTCCTCTTGTGGCAGACCCTCTTGGAGGCATCTCTGGCCGTCTTGAGACCACATTCGTCTTCTTCGGGGCCATCTTGGGCCGTCGTCGAAGGGCATTTGGGGACCGTCACGGTGTCCTTGGTTGCCTGCATGGGCCGTCTTGGAAGCTCGGGACGCGGATCCATTGTTTTTTTTGGGGGGGGGATCGTGGCTTCGCGAGGGGGGCAGCGAGATGTTGGTATGGGGGGGGTCCTTGCTGGAATACAGATTCCCTATATCAGGCAGCCCTTGGCACTTCTCCACGCCTCAGCGTGCACAAGACAAAGTGGCGGAAACGGCGGAATGGGGTCCCACCTTTACAGGGGTGGTCCACGTTTTAGGAACGCAATTGTATCATCCTTGGTCTCATGCCCCCCTCTTCGTCTTTCAGCACAGTCCCCCGACCCCCCCCTGGGCAGCGCACGTGCCTCGGGCCATGATTTGCGAGCTCCCGTCCTGGACGCCCCCCTTCTTTGATGCACCCGAGTGCGGTCATGCGATGGTTCTCTGGTAGATGCAGGTACAACTTGTGCTTGACACCAGGGCTCTGCAGCTCGAAGAAGGCAAAAACAGCATCATCATAAACTGTTGGCGCTCCGTGCGAATTTCTTGGATCGGCGCCTGGGCCCCCTTGGCGGTGCCTCCGGCGCCGCCCCTGGCGCGCTCCGCGCGCTAGGGTGGGGGGTCCAGCGCAGATCCAATTTCTAATAGTGGTGCTCATCTGCTGACGGCCTCCACCACACTGAGCAGTCCCGGTCTCTGGGCCGCTCTTCCAGGATGGGAAAAAAACACACACAGGCACAATGAATCGTCGACTCCGGGGCAAAAATCCAGGGAAAGATGGGGAGTGGGGAGGGGGGGAAGACGACCACACAGAAGACGTGGGCAACTGTGCGGAGATCTTGGGACTTGTGTCTACATGTTTGTCTGTGTGTTCCAGGGCGCCTTCAGTGCTGGCGGCGCGAGCATTAAGTCGGGCCTGTCCTTCTACAGGAGGAAAATTCAAAAGTAGCGTTAACATAGTCCAGGGACGCTTTCTTGCGCATTGCTGTTGAGCAATTGTTGTCGCTTCGCGAATCCCCACCAGCCCATCCAGAAACGATGCCCAGAGGAATTGCCTCGATCAGAGAAGTGGGCAGCACACAGAGGAAGCCATTATGAGACATCTTGGGATATCTTGAGCCATCTTGGAGGTCATTTTGGGCTCTCCCAGACGCTCTTGGAGTCATCTTAATCCGTGCCCCCCCCCAAGAGGCCTCCATGTGGCTAAAACCTGTGTAGAATCAATGATTAGGCATTCTCGCCGAGGCCTCTTGGAGCATCTTGGGTGCATCTGGGGGGGCTCTTGGGGCCTCTTGGGGGTCTCTTGGGGGCCTCCGGGGGGCCTCTTGGGGGCCTCTTGGGGCCATTTTGGGGCCATCTTGGGACCTCTTGGGGCTTCCTGGGCGCTTCTTGGGGCCATCTTGGAGGAGATCGATCAAACAAGAGGGGGGGTTTAATTAGCGTCCCCCCTCGGAAGCCCCTAAAATCGCCTCTTGGACCCCTCTTGGAACGCTCTTGGAGTGCTCTTGGGCGCTCTTGGGGCCGTCTTGGGGCTCTTTTGGGGCTCTCTTGGGGCCCTCTTGGGCCATCTTGGAACCATCTCCAGGCCTCGGATGGCCATCGGAAGCGAAAAGGCGAGAAAGCAAAAATCATTGATTTTCCTTAGGTTTTGGGACGATTTTGGCCTCTTCGGGGCCTCCTTGGGGAGCTGTTTGGCCACTTGGAGTTATCTTGGGGCCGTCTTTGGGCTTCTTGGAACCATCTTAGGAGCCATCTCGAGCGATCTTGCGCTATCTTGAGCCATCTTGGAGCTCATCTTGGGTTCTCTGAGGCGCTCTTGGAGCCGTCTTGGGCCATCTGGGACGCTCTAACTACCCGCGGCCCCCCCCGTCCAGGTCCAGGGGAGGGGGTAGGGGGAGGGGTAAACCCCTCCCCAAGGGGGAAGAGGGAGGGGTGGAAGAGGATCTGCTCTAGACCACCTACGCCCAGAGGGCTGGTGGGATTTTGCTGTATTTCTTTACATATTCTTTACATTTTCCGCCCAAAATCCCCGACTTCGCGCGAGCACCGCGCGCCGACGCGGCGCCGCGGCCCGCGCCCGAGGCGTCGCGGGCTGCGCACGCCGGGGTGCCTCCGCCCGGGTGCACGCGGAGCGCCGCGCGCCGTCCCCGCGGCGGGCCGCGGGGCCTCGGCCCGCCAGGCCTGCGGCCTGCCGCGAAGCCCCCGCTACAGGGGGATTTGGGGCGAAAGCTAAAAAAAACAGAAATGCGCCCAAGTGGTCAAAAATATTGACGAAAAATCGTCCCCATGCTATTGTTGGAGATTCCTCCTGTAGGGGCACGCCCGACTTAACGCAGGTTTTGAGTTGGGCACGTCGGCAGGAGGACTGGTCAAAGACAGTAGAACATAGTCTGGAGACGATCTTTTCTATCATTTTTTGACTACGCCCGATGTGTTTGACTACCTTTTGTTTTTCGTCAAAAATCCGCCTGTAGGAGGACATGCCCGATCGAACGTAAGTTCTGTGTCATCAACCGCCCCTTCGCCCCCCCCAATTCCAGCGCTCCGCGACGCGCGCAACGCAGCCAGCGGGGCCTCCAAGAGATGTCGGAGGCACCAGACTCGGCGCGAACATTTTGAAATTCTGGGCATGGCGTCGCCGCCGAGTCGCGGGAAGAAAACTTGCGTTTCGTGTCGCGGAGGTTCCGGATGGATCGCCCAAGAGCGCTCCGCACGCTCCAAGTGCGGACCCGCGCGCTCCGAAACAGCCGCGGCGCCCGCTGTGGCCTCCAGCACTGCGGCATCTGCGAGACTCCGCGGCCCCAGAGCTCCCGACTCCCTTCCTCGAGGGCAGACGTTCGCCCCAGAGCCCTCTCTGGATGGTCCCGGGCCCCCAGGTCGAGACCGAGGGGAAGCGCCGGGGTCGAACACATCTCGAAGGGGAAAAAGCGCCATAGATATAGACTTGTGGCGCCCGCGCGGATTTCTCGGATCTGCGCTGGGCCCCCCCCCAGGGGCGCCTCCGGCGCCGCCCTTGGCGCGCTTCGCGCGGAGCGCCAAAAGTGTATGTTTATATTTGTGTAGTGTTTTTTTGGAGCAGATCTACGAATACATACCGTCGGAGATCTCTGTCGCCAATCTGTCCTGATCCGATCTTGTCCCGTGCCTGGCCTCGTGGTGGCGGCCCGCCGCCGCCGCGCCGAGGCCCCGAGAAGGACACCGGGCGGCACGACTTCTGCTCGCTGGAGGAGGCGCTGGAGGCGGCCACCGCGCCGCGCCCCCCCCTTCCCGCGGCCGGGAGGCACGACGACGACATCGACGACGACGACGACGACGACGACGACGACGACGACGACGACGAGGACGACGACGAGGACGACGAGGACGACGACGACGTCGAGGAGGAGGAGGTGCGAGAGGAGGAGGAGGAGGAGGAGGAGGAGGAGGAGGAAGAGGAGGAGGAGGCGGTAGCAGCGTCGAGGTGGTCCGGCAGGAGCGCCCCACGCTGCCTCTCCCTTCCTGCCTTCTGAACCTCCCCTCGAGCCTCCGCACTCTCTCCTCCTCCTCCTCCTCCTCCTCCTCCTCCTCCTCCTCCTCCTCCTCCTCCTCCTCCTTCTCCCTCTCGTGCCACGCGTCTAAAGTCCAGAGTCTAGAGCGGAGTGCCTCCTGGGTTCGGCCAGCTCGAGTCGTGGCTCAGCAGCGTGGAGAGTGTCGGTGGAGGGAGGTGCCTGAAAGAGGCGGGCCAGGAAGAGTCGGGCCAGACGGAAGGGGGGGATGGGGAAAGGGGGGGGGGGATACGAAATTTGCTGCGTGCAGCTGGTTTCGGCTCCGCCGTCGGGCCCGTTCCTCGATACATGACCGCTTCCGGCGCCGGGAGGCGCCAGGAAAACCAGTTACGTGAGCTGATTCTCAACCCCCCCCTCTGCTATCCCCCCCTTTCGCCCGGCCCGAAAGAGGAGCAGGGAGCCAGAGTGCGGAGCAGGTGGGGGGCCCAGGCCCCCCCGCGCGTCGTGAAGCATTCGCGGTGGATTGTTTCCAGCCATCCTGTGGTGTTGGGTCGTGGTTGAGCTCGAGTGCGGCTCCCCCACCCAGTACAACGCTTCGTGGCCACATATGGAGTTCCGCCGAAGGCCCCAGCGGCTGGGCTCGAGTGCGTTTCCGCGCTTCGCGGCCCTATAGGGAGCTCCACCGAAGACCCCAGTGGCTGAGCTCGCATGCGGTTCCCCCACGCAGTGCAGCCTTTCGTGGCTCTATAGGGAGCTCCACCGAAGGCCCCAGTGGCTGAGCTGAGCTCATAAGGGGGCTCCACTGAAGGCTCCAGTGGCTGAGCTCGAGTGCGGCTCCCCCACCCAGTACAGCCCTTCGCGGCCCTATAGGGATGAGCTTCACCGAAGACCCCAGTGGCTGAGCTCGCATGCGTTTCCCCCACGCAGTACAGCGCTTCGTGGCCCCCTTGGGAGCTCCACCGAAGGCCCCAAGTGGCTGAGCTCGAGTGCGGCTCCCCCACCCAGTACAGCCTTTCTTGGCCCTGCAGGGAGCCCCCTGAAGGCCCCAGTAGCTCAGCTCGCATGCGGTCCCCCCGCCGAGTACAGCGCTTCCGGGCCGTACGCATGCGTTTCCCCCACCACGTACAGCTTCTCGTGGCCCTATTGGGAGCTCCAACGAAGGCCCCAGTGGCTGAGCTCGAGTGCGGCCCCCCCACCCAGTACAGCCTTCGTGGCCCTATAGGGAGCTCACCGAAGGCCCCAGCGGCTGAGCTCGAGTGCGGTTCCCCCAACCAGTACAGCGGTTCGTGGCCTCATGGAGAGTTCCACCGAAGACCCCAGTGGCTGAGCTCGAGTGCGGTCTCCCCGCGCAGTACAGCTTTACGTGGCCATATAGGGAGCTCACCGACGACCCCAGTGGCGGTGTTCGCATGGGTTTTCTTTCCACCCAGTATAGCGCTTTGTGGCCACATTGGGGGCTCCCCCGAAGGCGCCAGTGGCGGTGTTCTCATGTGTTCCCCCCCCAGTACAACGCATCGTGGCCCCATTGGCAGCTCCACCGAAGGCCCCGGTGGTGGTGGTCGCATGCGTTTCCCCCACCACGTACAGCGCTTCATGGCCCCATAGGGAGCTCCACCGAAGGCCCCAGTGGCTGAGCTCGCATGCGGTTCCCCCACGCAATACAGCGCTTTGTTCCCCAATTGGGAGCTCCACCGAAGGCCCCAGTGGCTGAGCTCGATTCTGGCCCCCCCACCCAGTACAGCCTTGCGTGGCTCCATAGGGAGCTCACCGAAGGTCCCAGTGGTTGAGCTCCAGTGCGGTTCCCCCACCCAGTACAACGCTTCGTGGCCCCATATGGAGTTCCGCCGAAGGCCCCAGTGGCGGCCCCGCCCCATTGTGGCGCACCCCTCACACGCTTGGCGGCCCCATAGTTGGTGTCGCGTAGCGCCCCAACGGCAGCGCCCACATGGCGGCCTCGCCCCTCATCGGCACACCCTTCGCATGTTTCAGTGCCCCATGAGGAGAACACCGAAGGCGATACCCGCAACGACTGTTTTCACCACTGCATACATATGCTTGGGTCTTGCGTCAGGATAGTTTTTGGCCGTTGTCGGCTTCTGGGGGCCCTCGCTGGGCCCCGGACCCGTCAAACATTTCTTGACGTGTCGCGTACCTCTACCAGCCCTGCACTTCGACCAGTCTTCCCTCCTGGTCCACCGCGTCTCTTGACCCGCAGCGTAGCTCGCTCCTGTGCGCTCTCGTGCGGAATTTAGGCCGCTGCTTGTTAGTCGCGTTTCTTGACGGCGCCTGGCATCCCTGCGCGCTCGCGAACAACAAGTACCCCCACCAGCCCATCCAGAACCAGATCGCCAGGCGAGTTGCCTTGATCAGGGAAGTGTAGAAGCATGCAGTGCAACAGCCGCGTTGGACGTGCTTTCTCGGAGGTCTCTTGGAGCCGTCTTGGGTCTCTCTTGGGGTCCTGGCGGAGCCACTTGGAGCCCTCTTGGGGACTTCTTGGGGCTCTTTTGGGGGGTCTGGGTGCCCTCTTGGGATTCGTTTGGGAAACTTGCAGGCCTCTTTGGGCCGTCTTGGGCCCAATGGTTCAAACAGAGGGGGGGAATTCAGACCCCCGCCTCGGATGCTCAAGACTGATGATTGAGGCCGTCTTGGGGCGCTTTTGGGGCTCTCGGGACTTTTTGGGCCCCTCTTGGGGCTCTCTTGGGCCGTCTGTTGCCATCTTGAAGTCCCAATAGCCCATCGGATACGACAAGGCGAGAAGGGAGAACCCACTGATTTTCCTTAGGTGTCTGAAGGATTGTGACTTCTCGGGGGGGCCCTGTGAAGGCTCAGAGTGTTTTGGAAACAGTCTTAGGACCGTCTTGAGGCCTCTTGGATGTGTGTCGTAGGCTATCGCGGTCCATCTTGAGGTAAACGAGGGAAGAACGCCGCGATCGAGAGCATCAGATCGTCGGAGATCTGGGGCCTCCGAGGGCTCACCGACGGCCGCCGACGCCGCCGACGCCGGCGGCGCCGACGGCGACGGCGCCAGGCCGACGGGGGCGCCGTTGTGCGCCTGACGGTGCTGCGCGCGGTGTCCGCCGAGGCGTCCCCGCGCGCAGGCCCGGCCCCCGGCGCGCGGGAGGCTCCGGGCGTGCGCGCGGGCGCCCTCAGCCCGGTGCAATCACGGGGCCCAGGCCTCCAAGGCTAGGAGGAGATCGACTGCAGAATCTGGTCTAACCGCACGAATCATTCGCTCTTCGAGCCCATGGAACATGTTTAAGATGTTTTGCAGACGTGCGGGACATTCTGCGTTTGTTTGTTGTCCGCAGATTCGACGATCAAACACGCTTATTGAGGCAAATGCCCTCGACCAACGTGCCCAGGCATCCAACGTCGCGCAAACATCGAGACGGGGGTTATTTTTAGTTTTCGGCCTTTCGGTCCCATCGGGGACCTTGCTGGGCCTCGGGGCCGTCGAAGAACGACTCGGGGTGCAAGACCGGTCATGGAAAAGTTGCCGAGAGGCAGGGGGCCCACGTCTCGACGCAATCGAGACGCCAGTTGTCTGGGTACGGTGGGTTCGCGTCGTGTCGACCGGCGGCGACCCCGCCGCTGGCGTTCAACGTTGAATGCCGCCGGCGACCCAGTGTCGCTCGATGTTGAACGATCGGACGTTGCGGAAAGGGCCGATCGTTTAAGGTTGAATGATCCCCGCGGTGTCAGGAACCAACGCTGGGGTCGGCACGACACGAACCTGTCGTATTGAAATCAAGGCGAAAACTTCCGCAGTCTTCGGCCTATCTTGTGGCCCTCGCTGGGCCCCATGGCCGTCCACAGGACTTCTCGGGATGCCAAGGCCGGCCCTGGGAAAGGGCCGGCTGCTGAGGACCCCGTGCTATGGCACAAGCCATGGTGGCGATGCATCTCTGGGAGGCGGCGGCGGGGGTATTCGCCGTGAGCGTGTCCGTTGCCACAGTTTCGTGGGCGCTCGGGTATACGCTGGGGGGGAGGGGGCGGTCGAGGGTTGCGGGGAGAGGAGGAGGGAGGAGGAGGAGGAGGAGGAGGAGGAGGAGGAGGAGGAGGAGAAGGAGGAGGAGGGAGGAGGAGGAGGCGGAGGAGGAGGAGGAGAGGAGGAGGAAGGAGGAGGAGGAGGAGGAGGAGAGGGGGAGGAGGAGGAGGCGGAGGAGGAGGAGGAGGCGGAGAGGAGGGAGGAGAGGAGGAGGAGGAGGAGGAGGAGAGGAGGAGGAGGAGGAGGGAGGAGGAGGAGGAGGAGGAGGAGGAGGGAGGAGGAGGAGGAGGAGGAGGAGGAGGAGGAGGAGGAGGAGGAGGAGGAGGGAGGGAGAGGAGGAGGAGGAGGAGGAGGAGGAGGAGAGGAGGGAGCAGGGGGAGGAGGAGCAGGAGGAGGAGGAGGAGGAGGAGGAGGAGGAGAGGAGGAGGAGGAGGAGGGAGGAGGAGGTGTGGCCCTGGTGGGGCCCAGGCGGCCCTTCGAGCCTGCCGCCGCGGGCCCCGAAACGGGGCGCCGAGGAGAGGGGCGCGCGGAGAGCCCCTGAGCGCGAGGCTCTTTGCCGCTGGGGTCTGCCGCCCGCGCGGACCTCCGCCTCTGCCACTCGGCGGGGTGGCTGTCGCGGGTCCCCTCCTCGCAGGGGTCCCGCATCTCTGTCGTGCCGCCTGTTCAGGCCGAGCCATGTTAAGCTCGAGTCGGGCCTGTCCCTCTACAGGGGGAATGTTCAAAAGTAGTCAAAAAATAGTCTGGACACGATTTTCTGACTGCTTTTGACCATTTGGGGGCATGTTTTGATTATCTTCCATTTGTCAACCAAAATCCGCCTGTAGGGGGACATGCCCGACCTGATGTCAAGCTCTGCGTGCTGCTCGCCGCAGCAGCGCAGTCAAAATCCGTAGTGAGGATGCGCCGCTTCATCAAGGCTGCCCTCGCAGCCGTGCTCCTTCGGGCCCTGGGCCGGTGTCGACGTCCAAGGAGCTCCAAATGGTAGATGGAACTTCCGAGGGTCCGGCATCCATACCTTGTATTGTTACTACGGTTCACCGAGCGCTTTCCACTACTCGCAAAGTGCCTACTCGCAAACGTCCGAAAAACACCTGTCTGCTTTGACGTAATTGATCGTAAATTCCCAGCGGGGGATCCAGGCCATTTGCACGTAGTTACCTTGCGAGTCGTGGAACGCGCTCGTCGAACGGTTTCTGACCGTACAGGGTGGCGGGGCCCCGCAACAGGCGCGGCCTCGCCCTGCGCTGCACCCCTCTCTTTCGGGACCTGCCTCCTCGCGGGCAGGCCAACCCAGTTTCCACGGTGCCCCGGTCAGGGAACGCCCGAACGGGCGGATCGGGGTTCTGAGGGAGCTGGGTTCTGAGGGACGGGCTGCAGTTCTGGTTTGCCGTTTTCGGGCTCTCTCGGGGCCGTCGAAGCAGAAACGGCACGGGTGCGGATGGTCGGTCCTGCAGAGGCGGCCCCGCCCATGCCATTCCGTTCCATTTCTCCGGGGGGTCTTGGCATCTTCTCCCCCAGGCCACATCAATGCCGCGAGGGCTTTGCTCTCCGGGCCACAGTTTGGCTCTCTGGGCAAGAGCGTGGTTTTCCGCTTGTAGACGGCTGCTTGGTGGATTTCTGAGGGCCCTGGGCAAAGGGCTGATATCTTGAGGGGGACCTGAGTGCAAGCCCGCTCCGTCGCGTTCTTTCTCAAGCTTGCGGCCCCCTCGCCCGCAAGAGCTTGTCGATGGTTGCGGCAGCGACCCAGGCTATGACTGACGTGCGCGAACATGAGTTCCAACCTCCAGCTCGGGTGGCCATCGACACGGATTCGCCCGGCACGGGCTTCGTGCGCCCCGCTTGCGACGGGGCAGAGCCGGTGGATGAGAGGGAGGAGGACCAAGGGCGCCACCGTATGGCACGCGGCCGAGCGCGGCAGGGCCGCACCCCTTCTCCGATGTTGAGGGTCCGCGTCGATGACGGCCCCGACTTGATCCTGTCAGAGGGGGCGTGCGGCGAAGTCGGCGAGCAGGCGCAGATCACCAGCTCCGTCCGGAGGTTGGTGCGCGCCGAGCGGGACCGTTCCGTCACCCTGCTGGAGCTCAGCCTCTTTGGGCGGGCGTTCAGGGACATGTGCAGGAAGCCCTTTGCCAGTCTGCCCCTAGTGGGCAGGCGGAACGCGGAGAGCCCTCCCACACGCGAGTAGGCGCAATGCGGCGGGGTGAAGCAGCGAGCAGTCGAAGGCGCAGTACAGGTCGGGTGTTCGCTCTGCGTGCGGGATGTAGACCCCCAGAGGACACATCGGGGACATCCCCGCGATGGAGAGCGCCACGGGGAGGAGTGGTGGAGGAAGAATCGTTGTTTATGTATATAATCGGGCACGGGGAGGAAGAGTCAGGGCACCATGCGCACGGGACTATTGGAGGATGGTTCATGTTTGACGTTTATGGGCCATCGTCAAACTTATACACATATATATATATATATATACGCACAAACATAGATATGTTGATATTTGTGTATATACACAACAGTTCACCAGTTCGCTTCGCTTCGTCTCTAGCATCTTGGTCAAATGGCGCCAGCGGGCGCGCCGCTACTGATAGCACCGCGGTGCGTTTCGGCAATGGGGCCCATGGGGCACACGGGACTGATGGGACCCGTGGGCTCCTCTGGGTCAGATGTCTGAAGGGCTTTCCGCCTCCATTGGGGCCAAAAAGCTCGGAACGCGAAGTGGAAGAGGGGTACTTCGTTCAGCGCGGCCCCTGGGGATCATGAGGTGCCGAGAGCCCGCCGCCGTGCTTGAGTTCAGATGGTTCTTCAGGTTGATGGGTTCGCTGGGCGTGGAGGCTCGTGGGGTCCTTGGCATCGCAGAAGCCACTGGCTCTTGAGTCCCATGCGGGTCGTCTCATAGGCCTCGTGAGGCTGACGGGGCACATATTCATACGGGTCATTGTGCTAATTGGGCCCAGAAGGCTCACAAGGTTTTGAACAGGTCGTCGGGGTCATAAGGCTCATAGGGCCGACGAGGTTCATATGGCTCATAGGGCTCTTGATGCTCTTAGAAGTCGCGCGGGCCGTAGGGCTCATGAGGCTGATAGGGATCATAGGGCTCGTAGGCCTTATGAGACCCATATGCGACAAAGGGCCCATCGGGCCCACAGGGCCGGTAGGGCTCATAGCGCTCGTCGGGCTCATTGGTCTCATAGAGTTGTTATGGCCCATAAAGCCCATAGAGTTTATAGGGCTCATAGGGCTCGTAGGACTCACAGGGCTCGTAGGGATGATTCGGCTCAGACGGCTTATATGTTTCATAGGCTTACAGGCGACATTGGGCCCTTAGGGCTCACAGGGCGCATAAGGCTCATAGGGCTGATGAGGCTCGTAGGGCCCATGGTGGTCATCGGGCCGGCCCGTAGGGTCCACAGGGCTCTCGGCTTGTGGGGCTCATGGGGCTCGTAGGGCGTATGGGGGCCTCGTAGGGCTCGTAAGCCTTACAGGGCCCATGGGGCTCTTCTGATGATCGTTCTTACGTTTGGCTTGCGAATTTGTTGCCACGCGGAATGGCTTGGAAGCAGAGCAGGCGGAGGGGAGAGAAAGAGAGAGAGAGAGGAAGATAGAGATACTGAAAAAGAGAAAGAGAAGGGGAGAGAGGTGGTCATAGGGTTCGTAGGTCTCGTAGGTCTGAGGAGCTCATGTGGCTCATGGGTTCGTAGTGATCCAAAGGCTCGTAGAGCTCATGGCAGAGGTATCTCTGGGGTCTTCTCTGGAGGGCACATGGAGCTCATAGGGCTCATAGGGATCGTAGGGGTGACAGGTTGGGAAGGGTCGTATGGGCTCATGGACTGGTAAGGATTATGTGGCTCGTAGGGGTTAGAAGGCGTATGAAGTCGTCAAGATCAAAGGGTCGTACGGCGCATTGGGCTCGTGAGCGTATGTGCTGAAGAGGGCTCGTGGGGCTCATAGGGCAGATGAGGCTGATGGGGCTTCGAGGGCTCGTAGCGCTGACATGGGTCGCAGGGTTCGCAAGGCTCGAAGGGCTCGTACGTTGTCGGGCTCATAGGTGTCGTAGGGCGCAGGAGCTCATTGGGCTCATGGGCCGGTAAAGCTCATGGGCCTCAGAGGGCTTTGGGGAGAGGCGTATCGGGGGCCTCTTGGAGGGCAACTAGGGATCGTAGGCCTCATAGGGCTCATAGGGCTCGAAAGGCTCTTAGCGCCATCTGAACCCGTCTTGCGGGGTTTTGCGGGCGGTTTCGCAGCCTTCTTGGGCCATCTCGGGGCCTCCTTGAAAGCCAGTTGTGCCGCTCGTATTGTATGAAGGTGCGAGATCGCGCGCTCAGGGTTTGGGAGCGTCTTGGTGTTCAGACTCTGGTATGGAATTGAAAACATACATAGTACGCAACCTCGCGAAAATTGACGAATGTGGCCTCTGAAGGCCTTCGTGGTGATCCTTTTGTGGGTGTTTTGGGATGTCTGGCGGCCTTCCTGGGCGGTTCCGGGACCCTCTTAAACCGTCATGGGGGTATTCGGCCGTCTCGGAGCTCTCTTGGGGCTTTCTTGGGGCCCTCTTGGGCCCTCTTGGAGGCCTCCTGTGGCATTCTTGGGACTCTCTGGGGAGCCTTGTGGAACCCTCTGGGGCCCGTCTTGGGCCGTCTTGGAGGCGTTTGAGCCGTCTTGGGGCCCTTTTGGAAAATGTGTGGGCCGTCCTGGGGCGATATGTCGGGTCTCCCGAGCCGTCTTGGACGCCGTGGAGACCAAAGAAGGGAATAGGTTGAACAAGTATGTTTTCCGGGGGGGATGGGATGATTGTTACGTTTTGGTGATCCCCTTCAGAGCCTTTGAAGACATCTTGGGGGCCTCTTGAGCCATCTTGAACTCTAAATCGAGCTGAGGGACGTGGCCGCGTCGGCTCAAGCGACCGGCCGCCTAAATATGATTGCGCCTCACTGCGAGGCACACAATCGCTATCGAGACCAAAAGGATCTTCCTACTGCTTGAGATGGTACATCCTCTCCTACTGGGACTATCGCTACTACTGTACAACAGAGCGGGAGCTTGGCTTCGCCTAAGGCGAAGCTGCTGGCTGGGCCTCCCAGCCCCTTCAAACTCTTGAAGCCACCTTGGGCCCTCTCTGGGCGCCCATGGGCCGTTCTGAAGCGGCCTTGGGCCGTTTCGGGGCTCCGCGGGATTGTCTGGGAAACGAGCTTGGGCCCGCTCGGGCGGCGCAGGATGGCCCGGAGGGCTCCCGGAACCGAATATTCGAATTTCACGTAGGTGGCAACGCCTAGGCCCGAATGTATGTACGGGGGGGTTGGGGTGATGATGCACGGGGAGGGTCTTTACGATAATATTCGAGAGGCATACATACAGAGATGTACACGAACCCACATACATACATATATACATACATACATACAAACAAACATGCATGCATGCATGCATGCAGACAGACAGACAGACAGACAGACAACCAGCCAGACAGAGACAGACAGACAGACATACACGCATACACCTTAGGCGATGCTTAAGAAAACCTAAGTTTTCGTCCAGAGTCTCGATTATTCTTAACTTTTCAATGTAAATCCCAAGATTTTAATAGAAGTTCGGTTTTTTTTTATTCAAATTCGCAGACTCTGAATTTCTTAACCCATGATTTCTTGAGCATTTCGCAGGGTGTATGCATAAACACAGACATCGATAACCAATTAAGATGGAGCGGCGTCCGGGCCCCCGCGTCCAGGGGCAGCACACTTTCTCGAAGCTCCCCCCCCCACCCCACTGTAGCCCCCGGGGCCTGTCCTTGTCCTGGAGCTACTGGGGTCTGCTTGGGCTGTCTGGGAGGAGGAGGGGGAGGAGGAGGAGGAGGAGGAGGAGGAGGAGGAGGAGGAGGAGGAGGGGAAGCCAGGGGGCCAACGCAGCACCTACTGGCTTCAGACATCACCGGGGCGCGGCCCGAGAGGAGGCTCCATGTGAACCCGGGGCGCCCAGGGACAGCGGAGACGCTTCGAAGACGGCCCAAGAGACTCCTAAGACCGGCCCAGGAAGCCCCGGAATGACACCTGGGAGGCCTCCGAAAGCAAGCGATTTTTTTTGTTGGTCTTTGTGTGACTTCCGTAACTTCGTCTTCTCGGCCGTGAGAACCCCCAAGATCGTCCGAACGGGCTCCAACATCGCCGTAACGCGGCCCAGAAAGGCTCCAAGAATGGCCTCGGACGGCCCAAGAGCGGCTCTTGACGGCTTTTCCGGGCGTCAGAAAAATAGAAGTCTGAAGTCAGAATGGGCACCACACGTGTACTGCGCATGGCTAAGTCTTTGATAGGCAGCGCAGCAACCTTTGAGCGGCTGATCGCGCCAGCCACCGACTGGAGGTCATTTGTGCCCAATGCCGACTTGCAGAGTGTGGTGTAGTTGTAGTTCCCCCTCGTCCCCTTCTTTCCCCCCCTCCCTCCTCTCTCCTCCCCCGCATCCGCGCGATCAATGCTTTATATTTTAAGGAGAACAAGATTGGAGGTCTCGCGTGCATGTGAATTCAGGGTCCTACGCACCTCCAGTTCTGAGGGGAGAACACGTTTGAATCGGCGCACGTTCCGGCAGTTGTTAGAAGCCGTGCCTAATGTTCATGGGGGTCGTATGTGTGTACAATCTTTCTCAGTGCATGCACCGAAGGGGTGCTATCGCAATGTGAAAGATTTGGTTCCCCGCGGATTTTGGTAGCAGGCTGGGTTCCCGGTTCTGGGTTCCCGGGTTCTTGGTTATTGGTTCTGGGCCGATTTCGGTGGTTTTTGGGTTCCCGGGTTCCCGGATTCCCGAATTATTTTCTTATCGATCTCTTTGTTTATCCCGCGATTCATTATCGATCTCATGATCGATCTCACTACTCATTTTGCTCAATCGATCTCACCATTGATCTCATCAAACCATCCACTGATTGGGTTTTTTTCTCTGGTGTAGTTATACCGTATATGCAGTTGTACCCTTGCGTGATTGTTCCCTAATCAGTGCTTGCACTGAAGGGGTCCTCGCGGCAGTTGAAGGATTTGGCGAAAGGGTCCCGCCGATTTTGGTCGCATGCGGGTTCCCGGTTCCGGGTTACTGGCCGATTTCGGAGGGCGGCGAGGTTCCCGGGCTCCTGGTCGATATTATCGATCGGTCTCAACATCGATCTCATTACCCATTTATTTATCGATCGCACCATCGGTCTCACAA